CATTGTATATTGTATATTCATATTTAAATACTTGTTATGAGATAAGCAAAGAGAATTTTTTCAGTCAGGTTTCTATTTTTTTTTTTTTTTTTTTTTTTTGTTTTTTTCTTTTTTTTTTTTTTTTTTTTTTTTTTTTTCGTTTTCTTCCTTTTTTTTCGCTTTTCACCCAAAGAGCAAGTTTTGACTGACGATATAATATTTGTAATATTTAGCATAAGACTGTATAATTGTCGATCGAATTAATCATCGTATCGTAAGTACTTTATTACGTTCACGTTGTTATTAGCGTTATTACACGCAGAAAAGTATTTGGGAAGTAGATTTTAGATGGTCAGCTTTGCGGAGTCGGATGTCGGATTATTCTCTAACAGATAGAATAACTGTTGTCGATGTTATAATTACTACTAATTAGTAGCTTTGGGTTTAGATCGTATAACGTAAACTACACAATGGTCCTATGTTAGTTTTTCACATTTTTTAGGTAGTATAGATCGTCAGTCAGTACAAGCTCAGAGTCACGTTAGCTCAGTCATTGTTACTTTCTAATACGTTTTACGCTGTGCGTACGATTAGATATGTAAGCAAGGCACTGAACGAGTATCGAAGTACTCGGTAGGCTACCGCAAAAGCTATACGATGAAACGAAAAGAGAAACTTTCTTCTTTGTTTGTTTTTTCTTTTTTCTTTTTTCTTTTCTTTGAAAGATGTGCACCGATGGTTCTAGTTGTGATATTTTATTAATTATAGAATCAACATTCGTACGCGCAGTGTCACTTTCGTCAGGCTCGAGGAGCCAACACGTGCATGTGTACAATATATGTGTAACGCATAGAAAGAAAAAAAAAACAAGATACTAGAGTGTGTTTTGCTGTTAATTATCCAGAATGATTATCGTCGTCTGATTGTCACTTCCGACAACGTTACCCTTAGCTGCTCGTCGTCTAACTATGCTCCACTTCTTTCACGAAATTTTTTTCTTCATAGGCTTTCTTCGATTATTTCCCCACGGATTTCGCTTCGAGTGACACGATAGATTAGGTATAATGTTTGTGATAGATTTTTACTTCCATACATCTTTGCCACTTTAGAGGGAAAAATTTGTAATGAAAATAAAACGCGATCTTCTTAGGGGGCAGAAGAGGGGGCAAGCGTAACAGTTACCTCTTCCTTTCGGATGACACTGTGGAAACATATTAAACACACTAAATAAATACGCATACAACACACATATGTACAAAGTACACCTACAGAACACAAAGTCACACGTGTAGCGTTCGAGTGCACACGTAGGTATACATATACACTCGAAGCTATAGAGATACAATTATTTTAATTGTTTTTAAATTTGTATATATATTTCTTATCGCATCAGGGCAGAGGGGAGCGGAGTGATTTCTTAGTGTCTACGTGTAGTGTCTAAAATGTTAATGAGAGATTGTGTCCAATCCAGAAAATTTATTTAGTGTGGAATCTCTAACGTTCGGGACCGGACGCTCGTACGAGAGAAACGCGAATTCGAAGATCGATCGTAAAACAAGGGGGACGAAAACGATGTGTCTTGATTCGAAAAAAAGGGGGCAGAGAGAGAGAGAGAGAGAGAGAGAGAGAGAGAGAGAGAGAGAGAGAGAGAGCGTTTTCGATGGTTGATGGATTTTTTTTTTTCTGTTCGAGCGTTCGGAATTGCGAAACGAACAACGTTCGACGAACGAGTTTAGCACTGTTAATACACAGATACTCGCGTTGAAATGGCCAGAAATGAATTAAAAAATAAGCTGAACGAACGAATGAATGAAAGAAAGAAAGGAAACTGAAATCAAATGGACATTTACAGATAAAAATTACGTTTTTTTGTGAACTTAGAATTATTATTAATGTTCATCGCGTTGTATGGATAGTTCTTATGAAATTATATATATATATATATATATTATATAATATATATTATATATATTATCATTGTAAAACAAAGTAACTGACTTTTTGCGAGGAATAGATAGCGGTAGTTATTATAAATATAGGAGAGAATAACATATTTTTGGAGTTATACTACTAGAGGATTGATATTGTGCTCTGTGAGTTCTTACATCTGTCTTCTTACGTTCTTGATCTTTAATCGTCGGATTGCTCATCACGATCGGACCACATTTACATTTAGAAACGAGAAATAAACAAAAACAAGAAAAAAAAAAAAAAAAAAATCAAGAAAGAAAAAGAAACAACTCGAGCAGCGTTGTACTATCGACGTATATAGTATGTATATATCCTATGTACGTAGGTATATTTGTCCTAAATTTCGGTTCGTCGCGACGCGTCACTAGAACTTTGCTCACGATCCACGCGTACGAACTTGTCGTTACGTGCGCGGCGCGGTCTCTTAGATTATATATACATACGTGCAAGAGAGATCACAATAGCCTGTAGTTCTAACAATTCGTACCTCGACTTCTCCGAACGATTCGAAATTGCCAGACGAATCACGACGACACACGGGATTGAGATATTTCCTTTCTTTTTTTCTTTTCTTTTTTTCTTTTTTTCCTTTTTCTCTCCAGCCAGCGTCGATACAAACGAGTAAATGAAGTCCGATTAGAGAGAAGCAAGAAATAAACGATAGATCGCGCGGGAAAAAAAAAAAAAATTAAGCTAGAACCGATTATTCTTCACTGTTCTTAATGTTCACTATTATACTATGGTAATATTGCAAATAATTATTAACGGTAGTACTTGTATCATACGTTTGTCAAACTTATGCATAATGCTGTACGAGTAAGGATTAATCATAATTTTTAAAGAAACTGGGGAGAGGGGGGTCTGAACACTCGTGCATACACATCACTGCTGCTTATATTATTGTTATTAACGATTTTCTCATCTTTAACAAGGTGAAGGAGGTTAGGTCGATAATGAGAGGCCAGGCATACCGTGGCATAGCTAGATAATTTTCGCTGTGGAATAAAGTAGGAAATTTTTTGGTGTTTTCGACGATACTCTCTCTTCGTTCTCGTGATATTCTTCTCTTGTTTCTTTCCTTTTCGTCCATATATCGATATATATACAAAGCGATTTTCATTTGCTTTCGTTCGTGCCACGGGAGAATTTTACCTTGGGCTAGTTGGGGTTACCGGTTTCGTTCTTCAATGAGAAGAAACAGAGCAATTATTCTTGCAGGCGAACTTTTTATAGTAGATAGATTTCGGACACCGAGTGTTTGTTCCTCGTAGGATTTCAGACGTTTCTCCTTTGTGTTTTGTTTGCGAGACTT